GAAAAAATTTAATGACCACTGGCGCCGATGAATGTTATATTATGCTTGGAAGGGTGATGACTGATTTAATTTCCATTATAAAAAATAAATGTTATACCATGTGCACCAAACAATCAACGAATTTTAAAAGAAAATAGCAGACAATTTATTGAAATATTAATTAAAAATAGATCTTTAAATGAGTGGTGTGGTCGATTTTACTAATATATCTATGCGAAAGTAACTGTGTCTGTCTGTTACGCTTGTCGCTTTTATGCCTTAACACTGCACCGATTTTTTTGAAATCTGGTACAAATATATATCAGACCTTAGAAAAGACGTAGAACCTAATTTGCCTTTTGTAACGAAAAAAAGATTTGTTGGGATTGATATAAAGTATGAATGTTGAACGATGAATATTTTTATTTATTTAATATTGTTATTTGGTCAAGTTTATACTTTTAGTTAAAAAAATAAAATAGTTATTATGGTTGAATTTATAATTTTTGTTCTGTATTTTATATWTGTTCAAAACCATTTAACTTGGTAAAAATAGTATTGCTAACGCTAATTTTTAGATCTTTATCCTTTGAATTTACACATCATGCACATCATTAGCACCTTGGTACTCAAGACTCGACGTGTCAATAAAACATTCGTATATACACAGGCACGTACACAGAATAAAATTTCAGAAGGGGGGTGAACTAACCTAACCTACCCCCCTCTCACCCACCCATTGTATACGTGCCTGTATATACGCACCTTGACACTTTGTTACCTGTAAACAGTAAATATACTACTTGCATAATCACAAATGTGTTTTACGGGTAACGCTGGGTGGAATGGCTATAATATAATTGTATTAAATAATAATAATGTATTCTGATTGATTCACTAACTGATCAACGTAAAGTCTAAATATTTCAGTTGAGGCTTGCTATTTTCACGGAACACCATSGAATGTGCACTAAGAAAGCATTTTTCAAAATTTTAATTTTAAAGCGGTGCTTGCACAAGTATTTTGAGGTTCAAAATGGAAATTATTATGTTTTGAACATTATTTCACCGAATATTAAATAAGGAATTGAACAAAGTTTGAATTATATTGTAGAGTTGGCATTTTTAACGGGCAACGAAAAATGCACGGAATCAGCTATAGTGTATAATATATAAATAAATTAGGAAAGCTCTCTCTGTAAGAGTGCTAAATTTTTCCATTTTTCTAAACTATTTTAATAAAAAGCGATAAACTATAATTTAATGTACAATGTATCATGTATGTACATTAACTACGGAAAATAAATCAATATCTTAATATCAATAATCGTTACAATAAAATCCTAATTGCAGGTATATAGACACATTTTCCTTGTGTTTGAAGTGTGCTCTATGGTTCGTTTTTCAACATCCATGTAGACTTCTATTGAGTGGTTAATAGTGCTCCCACAGTCACCACACATGAATTACGTTTTGGCTTATGAAAATCGAATAATTTTAGAGCTTTCTGAATTCCCGATTTCTAAACGTATTTCAATACAACATCACAATAAACTATAATTTTATATTATATATTATATTCGGTAAAATTAAGTGCACTTATTAAATACCTAAAATGATGTTCWACAGTCACTCGAGTGAAAAATTTTTATTTTAGAAATTGGAAATTCCTGTTTGAACTTAGGTACTACAAAAAAAAAATCATTTTTTACGGTATCGCCTCAGGTTAAAATGTACTTTACCACCCATGCATATTTTTCAATTTTTTTTTCATTTACTAATTTTAAAATTTAATGTGTTAATTTAGGTGGTTCCAAGTAAAGCTATTAGCTAATTATAATTATTATTGCCATAAGGTTCATTAATTACATTTCACGAACCAATCTTTAGATATGGTTATTGGTAACCTATATACCTATCTTTAGTAATTATTATAAAATGTTGAGAACCAATGACACTTCCAATTTTCAAATATTCGTTTATAACTTCATCTGATAAGATACCACCGTGATAGCACTATCGCGGTTAAGCTAAAAACCGATAGTTCCGAAAAGTTAATATTTGTGTTATAAAGTAATATATAGTATAATATAACTATTTTTACCGTGTTGAATTTTCATAATTTCCGATTGATATTAATATTTAATTTGCATTTTGCCCAAACCAAAGGTTGTATTACAAGGTTGTACATTCTCGTGATCAAATTTTGCACACCTGAAATGTCATGTTTTTGATAGATTATGCATAATCTACAGTCTGTGCTGTATAACATACACACTCAATACTTAACTGTACATATTTAAATATTTTATTCTAGTGACGTGTGTTATATTCAAAAGTATGCATATCTATTGGTTAACATATTTTTAGTTTTATGAAGTGTTTTGGTGATTTAATCTAGGTATATGGTTAATGAATGTTCAATATTTGATTAATTCAGGCTATGGCTGCTGAAAGGGAACGCCGTTCTAATGCTGGCAACAAACTAGCACGTTTATTGGATGAAGAAGAAGCTGCAGATGATGAATTTTACAAAACTACCTATGGTGGTTTCAATGAAGATGAGGAAGACAATGATTTTCATTTTGTCGATGAAGAAGCACCAGATGAAGTTGATTCAGATTTCAGTATTGATGAAAATGATGAAGTGATATCAGACTTTGAAGATGAAGAATTAGCTAAAAAAAAAACAAATAGGTAGGTACAATACAATTACACAATATCGGGCTTAATATACATCTGTAGTTAAATTATAGACTTATTAATATGTAGACTGTGTGTGGAGGATTGCCCAGTGTGAACATTGTTAAAAAGAGATAGTCAATGCATCTGTATTATAATGATATCCTACTGTCTAAAATATATGCTATGTTTTTCTAAAAGAAATGTTATCCTTGTAAAATTTTTCTCTTGTTATAATGGGTATAAATAGTACTTAAGTTGTGTTCAATCTTCTTCTATCAATGTTGGCCCCTAAACCTCTCTCTGTGTTATCAGTCCATTTCTTTATAGTTCTGTGACTTAAATATTTATTTAAGTATTTGTATATTTTTATGATTCAGTCTGTAAGTTGGTCTCACACCAATTGTTATTATTAAATAGATGTATAGATAAATACCCGAATAAATACAATTACCTAAATATACATTTAATGAATTTGATCGAATTTGGCACCAAGGGCTCCTCCACAAAATTAAAGCAATTTTCCCCCCATACTTGTATTTACTTATAAAATCATATCTTAATGATTGGCACTTCTCTGTGCGCTCAGGAACAACTTTTACAAATATTTCTAAAATATAAGCCGGTGTCCCTCAAGGTGCAGTTATTGCACCACTCCATTTTAACATCTACACTGCGGATCAACCCACTAAAACACAATGGTAGCCGACTTTGAGGATGTCAAAGCACTACTTGCATGCCACTCTGATCCAGACACAGCTGCCTCTTATATGCAAACCCATCTTGACCTACTAGCCTCATGGTACATGGAATGGGGCCTGAAATTAAAACAAACGAAATCATTACGCCCTGCTTTCACACTACGTCCCAGCGACTGCCCACAACTATTCCTTAATAATTAACCTCTGCCTTACTTTCAAAAACGTAAAATATCTTGGACTAACCCAAGACTGCCGGGTCACGTGTGYTCCTTTTTGGTAATTGTTTTTAATATAGATTAGTTTATTTATGTATTCTGATTTTTGATTGATTGGTACTTTATTAACTGAATAAGTAATATTATTAAAAAGTATAAGATAAACAAACCTTTAATAGAAAAAGTAAATGCTTTGCGTGAGTGTGATAATATCTTTTGACGATTTCATAGTTTTTTAAGTAAATATCTATTTTATCGAATAAATTCATTTTATAGTTAGAGAAATAATTTTCTATCAATGATATTTGACTTTAAAAAAATGTAGATTTTTTAAGTAGAACTCAAGATTTCATAATCAACTCAATGAGAAACAATATTGTGTTATCTCTGTCTTACAAATTTACAATATGCATTCAAGAGAACCAATTTTGTGTTGTTAGCAGTAATATTGAAGTGAATAGACGATAAAATGTAATAGTGAGAACATTTTTAAAATCATCTCATAGTTTTTATCGTTTTTTAAAATTTTAATCCAGTTACAAGGCTTAAATACTTATATAAAAATTGTAATACCTTATACCTATATTATTATATTATTGCTCATTTCAAAATTATAATATTCATAAACACCTAAAATTTACTAATAAATATCCTTGATAATATTTTATCTTCAAATTTAATAATAAATCAATTTTCTATATTATTTAACTAAACAACCCAAAATTACTATGCTAACGCTAATTACTATGTATTATGTTTGTAAGATAGAGAGAACACAACAAGTTTTGCTTCCTTTTAACAATATAAATGGTGTGCATCGTTTAATAATTTGTTTAGTGAATAATAAAATTGTTGGGGGACGAGGTGGCCGAGCGGTTTAACGCGTCGGCTGTGGCTCAGGCGGACCGGGTTTGATCCTCGACGATCGGGCGACATTTTTCTCCGGGCAAGTCCGGTGTCCGGAGAACAAGTGCCGCCATCCCCCACTCCGGAGCATGGCAGAAACCTTCGGGTGCCCCGATAGAAATTCTGCCAAAACTCTCACCCACGTGTAACCAACCTACCGTTCCATAAAACCGAGCATAAAACCTACAGTACTACCTCCTTCCCAATGGCCTTAGTAGCCGCAGGATAATTAAAAAAAAAATTAAAATTAAAAAAATTAAATTGTTATGTAACTTAGTAATGTATTTTATTTGACTGAATAATATTTTAAAAATAAAGATTTTTCTATTAATCATTTTTTTATTGTACTTTAATATTGTCAATTTGATGTCCATGATTAAAAACTTTAATTTGTCTCATTTTATCATTAGAGCATATTAGGTGTATATTTCAAGGTTTTTGATATATAATTTTAACTCAAAATTAGTTTTACTGAACATTAATAAATTCACTTACAATTATTGCCCATACAACTATACAAATAATGACACCGTTAAACTTGTTGATGATTTGGATTTTCTTACTAGTGATATGTGAATATTTTCAAAATTTGAGGGTTATATAAAAGGATCAAGAACCACTGGTAGAGAGGTTTACCTAATTTATTTCATTTGTTTTAACTATTCTTAATAATTTTATTTTATTTCAGATACCAAGAACCTAAAATACCAAAACCTGTTGAAAAAAATGAAACTCCAAAAAGAAAACGTTCCAGGACTGAAAAAGTGGTGGTGGTGGCGGCCGCTGAGACGTCATATGAACGAAAGTCAATACGTCAATCAACAGCAGTTAAGTCTCAGGAGACAATAGAACGTATTAAAGAACGTGTTAGTAAAATTAAACGAAATAAACCTATGCCTCCAGAAGAAATGCCTTCTCAGCAAGAATTGTTGGAAGAAGCAAAACTCACAGAAGAAGAAAATTTAAAATCATTAGAAAAATTTGAAAAATTAGAATTGGCTAGAAAACAGACAAGAGCTAAACCTCGCGTCACATACCTGACATCTGTTAAATTTCTTAGTAAAGCATATCCATTATATGCTGAAGATAACAATATAAACATTGAAGGTGAAGAACATGACGTGAAACGTGAACGTTGTGAGTATTTTGAGCGCACTTCCATCACAGTGAATGAACCTCATGAGTTTGAACGAATGTTTCCCAAGAAAATAGCCAAACCTTCCAGACCCCCTAGAAAATGTGTATTTACTGAAGATTATGCCAGATACAGGGATCCTTTGACCGGCCACCCTTATAAAAATCAAAAGATATATTCCATATTAAGATCTGTATACTCTATGCATTTAGATGAAGCTTTTGCTAATAAATAAAATACAAGTTTTAACTTTTAAAACTACTATTACAATCATAATATTAACTAGGTAGGTAATAACTAAGTTATATTTAAGGAATAACTAAAATTATTGATGATTATTTTTTTCATTGTAATATATTATGATTTGACATATTGAAATTTAGAATGAATTTAAGAATGGATATATAGCATGTTTATAATAAATAAAAAKCTAAAGACATTTTATACCTAGATATAGTCATTTTTAAATTTTGTTTAGTATTTAATAATGATATCCTCTAATCTTCAAAAAAATATCTTGAAATAAGACACTTGATAATTATTATTATAATTAGGACCATAAAGGTTTGCTATGACTGATCAATTCTACTACTCCTGTATTAAAAATATACTAATAATCTGAAATACATTCCACGAGTTATGCTAATATAATTATAGATATACACAATTTTACCTAATATATTATATAGTACACATACTAAACTAACATAAGGTATGTTTTTTTTAAATTATTACCATGTTTAAAGTTAAAACTGATGTGATAACTACTAACTTCTCATGGTCCTAACTATAGTTAGGTATAAATGCTTAACATTGAAATTTGAATGGGTAGCATAATATTGGTATACAATAATACAATAAATTATTTGTCACTAATGTATTTTCCATAAGATATCTATAAATGTGTTTCGTGTTTAAAAGAACAGCTGATATACATTTTGTTTTAGTGTTATAATAACTTGTTTAGACAAAATTAAAGTTAACTCTTGAATATTATTTAATTAATATTTATTTACAAATATACTTATTAATATTTGTGCATTTTGTACATCATGAAAGCTAACATTTGATTATTATAATATCTTATTACTTAATAAAGCTATACTTTGGCTATACATATATAGGTAGGTAAGGTATCATTTAGGCAATCAATAGACATTAATTTAATGAATTGAAATTAATTTATTGCAAATAATAATTAGCATGGAGTTCACCTAAATTACATTTTCAATAAATTATATCATAGTCTATAATATGATCGTAATAAATACTTTGCTTACCAAACACCACTTGACTTACTTAATTATTATTTTAATTTAACCTAAATAAATGCTTTTGTTTTGTTATTTAAATTTAGTTTTAATCCATTACAATTTAATAATTATTAAATATGTATTTATTTTTTTGTGGAAACCAATCAACATATATAAGCTATTATAGATATTAAATAAGCTGTCATCTGTCGGTATAATATTTAAAATAAAATACAAAAAGTATATTTTTCGTATTTTCAATAAAAAAAGGGAACAATATGATAAATTAAATACAGTCGTGATTACCCAAATTTGAAATATTTAAGCAAATCATTTTGTAGGTAAAAATTAAAAATAGTTTTAATTTAATAACTATTGCCTGAAAATATAAATTTTAATATATAAATATAAGTATTTCTTAATGCAATATTCAAAAATATCAAAAACAACCACAATACAGACGCAGCCTATACAAGTTATGTTTTTAATAATACTTTTATTTTCAAGATTAAATGTGAGCAAGATTTGATATTTTAATTTTACATTAAATAATTATTTCATCTCAAACAATATAGTTATTTTTAAACTTGAAACATTTTAGTATTTTACTATATCTTATATTATTATTTTCTGTTAAGAGGACGTGATACCCGCATGTGTTGTCTCTGTCTTACAAGTGCATTATATAGTAAATTTTACGTTCAGGCTGACCATACGCTAACCTGCCGCATAGGGCGGCAAATTTTGGAGGGCGGCAAAATTATGTCGAATATTTATTTCGATTTTGTAAAATTAGGTACATAATTTTTAAATTTTATCGATCACTTCAAAATCATGAAATTTTTGATTTTGTGTTCGTTTATTTTTAGCAAAATAATATTTTCCCAGGAACTCGCCTACGGATTACCACAACGACGATCGTATTTTATTATAGAT